TAGGTGAGTGCTGGGCCCACGGGGGGCTTCAGGCCTAGGTGAGTGCTGGGCCCACGGGGGGCTTCAGGCCTAGGTGAGTGCTGGGCCCCCGGGGGGCTTCAGACGTAGGTGAGTGCTGGGCCCATGAAGGGCTTCAGGCGTAGGTGAGTGCTGGGCCCACGGGGCACTTCAGGCCTAGGCTGCAGGTGGTAAGTGTGAGGCTCTGCACCTCAGCCCTGTCCTCATTCCTGTAGGGGATGTTGACCCCTTTCCCCTGAGAGGCCTCAAGCACCCAAGAAACACCTTTATGTGTGCATGTGGTAGACCATGCTCCATAAAGGGGCCGACCCTCAGCTCCACCTACAGGGTGAGGCTGTGTTTGGGACCTGGGGCAGAGGGCGAGGAGAGGCCCTTCCCTGGGCTGCAGAGGAGAGAGTGGGAACTCAGGCCGCATCCTGGGCCAGGGCTGGGCCTCCTTGCACTCAGGTATCATCAGGACTCCCTGACTCTCAGCAGAGTGGGAACACGGGCACCTCTCTCGGGCTAATGCTGTGTCACATCTGAGCCCCATTCCCTGACTCTCCCTCTTCCTTTTCCCAAATCCAAGGCAGCACCGGATTGGACTGTGGGAGGGGCCTGGGGGGGAACACACTCTAGGCCTTCTGGGCCCGTTCTGCCTCCAGGCAACTATGGGAACGAAATTGACGGCCTGTCCCGGCCCCAGCGGCCTCAGCCCCGGAAGGAGCCTGGGGATGAGGAAGAAGTAGACCTGATTCAGAACTCGAGTGACGACGAGGCCAGCGATGGCGGGGACCTGGCCTCAGTCTCCTCCACCCCACCAATGCGGCCCCTGGTCACCGACAGGTGGGTCCAACCTCCCATCCCCCTGTGGCCTGGCCCTCCCACCTCCCTGGGCCCCCAAGACCTCACCTCCCACCTCTGCCCACCCCAGGAACTACTTCCATCTGCCCTACCTGGAGCGAAAGCCCTGCATCTACATCAAGAGCTGGTGGCCGGACCAGCGCCGCCGCCTCTACAATGCCAGCATCATGGACCACATCGCTGACAAGCTGGTCAGGGCCAGGCCAGGGGCCAGCAGGGGTGGGGTCCTGGGGGAGAGGGTGCTGTCAGAGGGCATTGCCTGCAACACACAAAGCTGGTCTGCCCAGGCTGCAAGAATGGCCCCAGCAGGACCTCTGTTCCCATCCTCAGCCCCAGGTCCCAGGGCACAGACAAGAGCCGGAGCCACCTCTAGTCACGGCAGCCTCCAGCAAACCCCGGGGCAGGAGTGTTGGGTTCCCTGATTTTTCCAGAAATCTTAAAAGCAAGGCTAGGGAGACAGTTGTGGTGGCTCACGCCTGTAATCCCAACACTTTGGGAGGCCAAGGTGGGTGGATCACCTGAGGTCAGGCATTCGAGACCAGCCTGGCCAACATAGTGAAACCCCATCTCTACTAAAAATGCAAAAATTAGCAGGGCTTGGTGGCGAGCGCCTATAATCCCAGCTATTCGGGAGGCTGAAGCAGGAGAATTGCTTGAACCCATGAGGCGGAGGTTGCAGTGAGCCAAGATCGTGCCACTGCACTCCAGCCTGGGTGACCGAGCAAAACTTCATCTCAAAAAAATAAATAAAATAAAATAAAATAAAATAAAAAAGCAAGGCTAGGGAAGGGAAATGGGGAGAAGGGAGAAGCGAGCAGTGTCTGAAGCTCAGGAGCTGCCCCCTCCTCCTCCGCCCACCCCTCTCCTTGCCTGACCCATGGGCACTGACTGGGCGAGGAGCGCAGCTGTTGGCCTGAGACCTCCTTCTCCCCAACCTGGGGGAGCAGGGACCAGCAGATAATCCCACCCTTCCCTGAGATGTTGCTGTTCCCTGTTGAAGTTCCCTGAAGCTCAGTCAGCTCATATTTTATAAAAATGAATTAAAACCTCCAAAAAAGTCAAGGCTAATATGAGGTTTGCTCCCAGCCCCCTGCCAGTGTCCTCCTTGTCGCCCCTGTCTTGTGACTATAACCACAATTAAAGCCCACAGCCTTTGCAGTGTGACCTGGGCCTGCAGTTGTCTGCAAGGCTTCCCGTTAAGGAGTAGGGTACTAGCTGACCTGTGTCTTCTGTGGGACCTGGGTCTCCCAGCCCTCCCAGTGCTCTCAGAGCCAGAGCCACTCCCTCTTCCCCCAGGCATCTGTTCCCATGCCCTGCCACAGACCCCAGCATTTTGGAGGGACGTCAGGATCCTGGGTTTCCCTCTGTCTCTGGCCAGCCATGAGCCCCCTGCCTAGGCCTGAGTTCTGCCCAGGCCCTGTGAGCCCACCAGAACCACAGACTCACAGTCCAGAGGTGGCTTCTTCCTTCAGGAACTGAAGAACCCACGAACACCAACATCTCCAGGTTCTGAGAACAGAACCTGGGAAATTGATGACTTCCTCATAATGACTGATACTCAGGACGGCCCTAGCAAGAGCTCCCAGATCATGCGGTCCCTCACTCCCCTGATCAATGGGGAGGAGACATTTAGGAAGGCTGGGGAGGCTGGGGAGGCGGGGCTGTGGCCCAGCATCACTGGCACTTCTGGTTCACAGGAAGAAGGCCTGAACGACGTACAGGAGATGATCAAAACAGAGAAGTTCTACCCTGAGCGTCGCCTGCGGGGCGTCCTGGAGGAGCTGAGCTGTGGCTGTTGGTGAGAAGCGGGGGGCGGCAGGTTGGGGCAGGACAAAGCAGAACTGGACAAAGGGGACCCCGCCAGGGCTGGGTAGATGAGGAAGAATCTACAGAGCCCCTGCTTGTCAGGCTCGCTAAATCCCAGCTCCCCCTATCCCCAGCCGTTTCCTCTCCCTCGCTGACAAGGATCAGGGCCACTCATCCCGCACCAGGCTTGACCGGGAGCGCCTCAAGTCCTGCATGAGGGAGCTGGTGAGGACGCGGCTGGACCGCAGGGACTGGAGGGAGGGCCTGGCTGTGAGAAGGTGTCACAGCTGCCTCTGTCATGGCCCGAGCTGTCCCCCAGTAGCTGGGCTTCGCTGACACCCCCTCCCACACAGGAAAGCATGGGGCAGCAGGCCAGGACCCTGCGGGCCCAGGTGAAGCGGCACACGGTGCGGGACAAGCTGAGGCTGTGCCAGAACTTCCTGCAGAAGCTGCGCTTCCTGGCAGACGAGGTGCGGCCCAAGGCGAGGGGGCTTTGCCTTATCCAGGGTTGGCTCTCTGAGGTCCTTCAGGCTCAGGGGACTCAGTCAGGAGGCTGGACCCTCTTACCCGTTGCCCCTGGCCACTCCCCACCCCGCCAGCCCCAGCACAGCATTCCGGACATCTTCATCTGGATGATGAGCAACAACAAGCGTATCGCCTATGCCCGTGTGCCCTCCAAGGACCTGCTCTTCTCCATCGTGGAGGAGGAGACCGGCAAGGACTGCGCCAAGGTCAAGACGCTCTTCCTCAAGGTGCTGGAGGGGGCAGGATGGATGGGGGCCTGGATCCTTTCAGAGGAGCAGCAGCTCCACCTGGGGCTGGAGGGCCTGAGTGACAGAGTGAGGCCTTCAAGCAGTAGGTGCTCAGAGAAGAGCTGAGAATGGGAAGGAGGTGGGGGAAGGGGTGCGGAAGGGGTAGGACGGCCCCCTGCCCATCTCCCTGTCTCCACTGGACCCCAGCCCAGCAGGATGCTGTGAAGGGGCAGGGCAGCTCTGACCAGGGCCTCCGCCAGCCCCTGCCCCTTCCCCACCCCGTGGGCCCTGGCAGCCGTCAGGCTCCTGGTGACCCCATGCCCACCCCCAGTTGCCAGGGAAGCGAGGCTTCGGCTCAGCAGGCTGGACAGTGCAGGCCAAGGTGGAGCTGTACCTGTGGCTGGGCCTCAGCAAACAGCGCAAGGACTTCCTGTGCGGCCTGCCCTGTGGCTTCCAGGAGGTCAAGGCGGCCCAGGGCCTGGGCCTGCACGCCTTCCCGCCCGTCAGCCTGGTCTACACCAGTGAGTGAGGACCCCTCACTCGAAGCCTCACCTGGGAGGGGCCGGAGGGGCTGCCCATCCCAGAACCTCAGGCTGCCCTTCCCCACAGAGAAGCAGACGTTCCAGCTCCGAGCCCACATGTACCAGGCCCGCAGCCTCTTTGCCGCCGACAGCAGCGGACTCTCAGACCCCTTCGCCCGCGTCTTCTTCATCAATCAGAGTCAGTGCACAGAGGTGAGGGCCTGGGGGGAGGGAGTGGCTCTGGCTTTGAGAGTACCAGGAAGCCTGTGAGCCTGTGGGGCCTGTGAGCCTGTGGGGCCTGGGACCTGTGGAGCCTGTGAGCCTGTGGGGCCTGGAGCCTGTGGGGCCTGTGAGCCTGTGGGGCCTGGGGCCTGGAGCCTGTGGGGCCTGTGAGCCTGTGGGGCCTGGAGCTGTGAGCCTGTGGGGCC